CTATGAGTCCTAAGCGACTCGACGGCACATAACAACAACAACAACAGGAGAACAAACAGGTTTGTCCTGGAGAAGGTGAAGCCAGAATGTTCCCTGGAGTCAAGGATTCTGAAACATCGTCTGACATAAGGAGGGACTGGTCCTTGGAGAGGGGCATCATGTTTGGGAGAGTGGAGGGGCAGCACAGGAGAGGAAGACCCTCAATAAGATGGATCGATTCTGTGAGTGGAGTGGTGGGAATGAATATGTTTGAGACTGCAAGGTTGTCACAGGATAGAACGGCATTTAAGGCTCTTGTACATAGGGTCGCTATGAGTCGCAAGTGACTCGATGGCACATAACAACAACAACAACAACTGTATTCTTAGAGTGCTACTCATTTAAGGAGCTTACAAGAAAAGGAAAAAAAGACTCTCTTACATTTTCCTCTTTTATGAATCTTTGAGGTAGTTTTTACTGATTGCCATCGAGTCGAGCATGACTCATAGAGACCCTATGAACAAAAGGCCTGAAGCCTTGCTATAACTATTGTCATTTATCAAAGTTCATAGTTTCTAGAGGCATGTTGTTTTGCAAGTGGATGCCACTCCTGTTTCCAAACCTGTCTTAAACTAGGAGCTCCACCAAACACTGTGCACCATGGGTAATTGTTATGGCGTTTGGCACCCCAATGGTACAAGGTTCAGCATCACAGCAACCCCAGGTTACCTCAGTACAGTATATTGACAGGAGTGCTGTACCACTTAGAAGAATGTTCCTCCAAAATATAATAACAACCAATTTTAAATACAAAAGCCCTCCTCAAGGTCTTGTTGACTCTAAACAAAAGGCTTAAATAAAAAACAACCAATAGAGTATGTAATTGTTTTTATGTAATTGTAGGGGAATTTATGTGTAAATTCCTGAAGAACAAGATGCTGTTTATTTCTCACAAAATTGAGCTTTGATAAATTGGACATAAGAATGTGAAAATGAGTATAACTTAGGCTTATTTGGTGAAAACCAAAATTAAGAGGAAAGAAGCTTGATTTTTTTGTGTGTGTGTTATATTGACTGCAACCACGTCTAAAACTAAAATTGTACCCCACTGCAGTTGAGTTGTATTAGAAACCTCTGGTGGCTTAGTAGCTAAGGAGTTGTGTTGCCAACCCAAATGCAGACAGTTCAAATCCACCAGCTGCTACATGGGAGAAAAGTGGACAATTTCCTCTCAGCAATTTTCAGCCTCTGAAAACCTGCTGTCAGCCATGAGTCAGTTCCCACTTGATGGCAACGGGTTAATTAGTTGTAAGAAAATTTCCAAGGCTATAAATCTTTATGGAAGCAGACTACTCTTCTTCCTACGGAGAGGCCTCTGGGCTCAAACCCATGATCTTTTGATTAGCAAGCAAGTGCTAAAGCCAAGGCACCACCACCAGGGCTCTTGTAATCACATCAGAGACATATACAGATCTTCAGAGATAATAGTTTCATGGAGACAAACAAGCAATTTGTTTTTCATTCTTGTTTCATTATCAGGAAGAGACCCCTCTTTCTAAAAATAGACAGTAATTTTCCAGGACAAAATTTAATATTTATCTGTATGATGTCCATACATGGTATATGGCACTTCTAAATTAAATGTCACCAATTCTGTCAGTTCTGTGAGTTTATTACAGTTCCTTGGATGAGACACTTGGTGGGCAGTGTTATCCGCATCCTGATAGACTATATGGATTACGTTCCCCTGTGTGCCAAACTGAAGTCTGTGCTGGAAGTACAAAGAGAGTGGCCAGAAATCCAACAAATATTAGGTAAAAGGACTTTTTTTAAAAATTTTAAGTTTCTTAAGGTTTTCTTTGATATCTTCTCAGTGCTTTTACTACTCTATTTTCAGAATTATCTGTAATTTTTTTAAGTCATTCTTAATGCTTCTTCTCATATAAGATGCACATTGTATGCTTTTCTTGGTATTTTCCAGCGCTTAACTTATATAAGAGCAACAACTATATTCCATTCAGACATGAACTTCTTTTTTTAAAACAAATTTTTTTTACTGGTTTATTTACAAAGTTCGTATACATTGTTTTTCACACCTGATCTTTCCCATTTCCTTTACCCACCCCTCCCTCTACCCATCAAATTATGCAACCCTACGATTAGTCCCCGCCCAAGCCTACCCCTCTGCTCCTACCCTCCCCCCACCTTGGATTCTCATACCCATTTTGCTAGTTACATTTCTATTTCTACAAGAATGATCTTATACATTATTTGTCCTTATGGGACTGAGCCCACTTAGCATAATGCTCTCCAGTCCCTCCCAAGTTAGCTATAATTTTCCAGATCATTGCTCCTGCGTGTTGTGTAGTATTCCATCATGTGAATGTACCACAATTGCTCAATCCGTTCTATTGTGGTGGGCTATTTGGGCTGTTTCCATGTTCTTGCGATGGTGAATAATGTTGCTGTGAACACTGGTGTACAAATCTCCATTTGTGTCTCATTCTTCATTTTCTCAGAGTATATTCCAAGCCATGAAATAGTGGGTCCTATGGAATTTCTATGCTGAACTCATTTTCTTAAAGCTAACTTTTGCATTATTGTACATGAAGACTATAGTCTCCATTTGGGCAGAGATTGGTTTTGTTTCTTTTTGTATTTTCAAGGCTTGCATGGTGCCTGGTAAAAACGACCCATTAAATATTTACTGAAGTAAATGAATGAATGGGAAGTATTAAAGTTTTGTGATGTTTTTGTGGTTTGTGTTGTTTTTTTTGTTTTGTTTTTTTTTTTAGTCTAAGGGAGCTTTACCGGCACAGTCTGTAAGCAATTGCACTGCTAACTCAAAATCTCTAGAAGTGCAACCCACCCACCGTCTCTGCTGGAGAAAGACAGTCATTCTCCTACCGTTATGACGTATAGCCTCCAAAACCGGATGGAGGATTTCTACAAGGCAGAACTAGCTCAATGACAATTGAGTTTGAAATTTAAAAAAAAAAA